CCTTAAAAAAAAAAAAAAAAAAAAAACAAACAAACAAACAAACAAACAAACAAACATACCCTGCTGTCGCAACTGCAATCTTGTTATTTGCTGTGAGAGCAATGTCGCATGGGAACATCATCCACTTGCTTGCCTCCGCCCTCGTCTCCGCAACACCCCCCGCATCCTTCTCCTTGTCTTGCTTGTACCAGGCTGGTTTGTACTCGGGTGCATTCCAGGACTGCAACCATTCCTGCATCTTCTCCACTGCAGTGTGCAACGGACTTGACTTCAACCTCTCCAGAGGGGGATAGATTGTGTGCAAAGTCCTGGATCGAAGGTCCGCCTTTCTCAAAGCATGGTTCTTTGTAATTGCAGAGTCAGCAAAACCACCAACCGACAGAAAAGCAACAAAAAACAACAGAAGGACAACCAACACACGTCAACCGTCAATGAACTCATCTTGCAACTCGTCTTCTCCAATGCGGTGTGCAACGGACTCGTCGTCTTCGACCTCTCCAGGGGGGGATAGATTGTGTGTGTGCAAAGTCCTAGATCGAAGGTCTGCCTTTCTCACGCGGAATCAGCAAAACCACCATCCGACAGAAAAAAAAAGCAAAAAACGGAGGGACAACCAAAACACATCAACCGTCAATAAGCTACCGTCTTCTCCCGAATAGAACGCCCAGTCATTATAGCCGTATGTGGTGCAATTTTCAGTCCAGATACAGCTATTATGACCGGGCGTTCTCCTCGGGTGACGACAGTAGCGTATACACAGGCGAACCTTCCTGTTCACATTCTTTTTTCAGGGCCAAGGATGCGCTTGCACGGATCTTTTGTTCCTGCCCTTAGATTGTGAACATCGACAGACAGAAATGGAGGGTCCTGAAACGGTTTTCACCTTTTGCAGACACAGATGCGGATCCCAGGGCTCGATCCCCACACCTCACCTTACCTTACCTTACCTTACCTGTGTACAGTATCAAGTCGACCCTRTGAGTCTTGAACCCGTGACCTGTGTGTTAGTAGTTGAAAGTTGTCTGTCGTAGGTCTGAGTAGTTGTTGGGTCTTGAACCTTAGACCTGTCGAAGTAGGGGGTCATATCTGCATAGGGGTCGTAGTTGTTGTAGTTCTGAAAGGCCAAGGTCGTAGCTGCTACAGTTCTGAAAGGTCAAGGTCGTAGCTGCTACAGTCCTGAACGGCAAAGTCCGCAAACTTCCGGAAGGTCCGGAAGTGGCCTTTCAAGTTTCTTCTCACGTTATACACAGCAGACCAGAGGCAAGTGGAAAAGTGGCGAGTCCAACTTAGCTTAGTCAGCGGTACCCAGTCCCAGTCTCACTTTGTACAGTCAGCAAGTACCATGAGGGACTGTGCGCACCATGGGCCCAGTGGAAAAGGGGAGACCAACGACTTACAGAAGTATAAATCAAGTGGCAGCGTCCAGCCATTCATTCATTCCTGCGTGAGCCATGTGGAAGCGCTGCCCAGGCATCTTGTGCGAGGTGGTCTGCAGAAGCCCGAGGTTGAAGTGGGCTGAAGGGAGATAGTTCTTCCATAGCCAATAGTAGTAGAGCGAACATAGCCGCTGTAGCTTAGAGGCAGTGTTTAGTGTGTGTGTGTGTGTGTGTGTGAGTCCTGATACAGAGTGTGTGTATGCGTGGGATATCCAGGGAGATCCAGTGTGAAGTACGTGTGAACAGTTGGGGTGAACATTGAGTTGAGGAAGAGGAAGCGCTCAGGCGCCATAGTCATTTTGAAGCGAGTTTGTATCTGAACTGTGTTTTCGGTCTCCATATCTCTGAGCTTTGTATGGGCACACAGCGCCGGCGTGGTCTGCCATCTGTTTGCATGTATGCAAGTTGAAGAAGAAAGTGAGTCTGAATCCAGTCCACAAACACACACAAAAAAAAGGAGAGTCGAAGCAAGCAGGATCTTGCCGAATGCCAAGTAGAAAGGGAGCTCGACTCGAAGACTGCATCGACGAGCAGGGACGAAAGTCGGCCTTAGTGGGCGCGATGCGACCAAGTGGAAGAGCCGTCGCTTCCAGTGCCTCGAGCAGGGACGAAAGTCGGCCTTATTGGGCGCAATTGTACCAAGTGGAAGGGCCGTCGATCAACAGCTAAACATTACTCCTCAACAGTATCCAAGTGAAATCAATGCATTGAACCACACTGTTCACCACCTTGAGCACACACACACAATGAGAGATCACACGAAATCCACACTGGAGACCAGAGATGCATAGTTCAGATAAGCGCAGCTTAGAAATTCCAACAAATTATGATATTGAACTGTTTCTGTGTTCCAGTCACCAAGGGCTCATCAGTGCCGAGTTCAGTAACCCATATCCAGCATCCTCATCCAAGATAGGTGACCCTCTCAATCTCTCTGTCCCCCTGTCTCACTTCTCTCTCTCTCTCTCTCTCTCTCTCTCTCTCTCTCTCTCTCTCTCTCTCTCTCTCTCTCTCTCTCTCTCTCTCTCTCTCTCTTCTTCATACATGCGCTCACTCTCTCCCTCTCTCTCTCTCTCTACCTGAAGATCTTGACTCTGGATACATCCGCTACTACTCAGCTCTACCACCTACCACTAAGCTGTGTGGCTATGGCCGCCTTCCTTCCTCAGAACAGCGCTGCCCAGCCAGGGCCCTAGCGCTAGCTACTCGCAGGTAGCGCACAAGCGCCTCAGCAGCACTTACCACACTTCTTGCGAATGAGCAATCTGTTCAAAATATGGCTGGCCATTCCTTATATTGACTTGGACTGAGCCTTGACTCGTCCCAGCCTCTGCTTCTCTTGGCTTGACTTGGACCCGTACCAGCTGCCCGCGGCCTGTTTGCTTCAGAATGTTGAGGCCCACTACCTTCCTGGGTTTTCCTTGTTGTGCTGCTGCTTTTGGGTCTGTGGAACGTGACCCTTGACTGCGAGTCGTGACCCTTGCCTGTGGGATATGACCCTTTGGCTGTGATGCGTGACTTCGGCCTGTGAGACACGACCTTCGACTGTGGGACATGACTTTTGCTTATGGGATGTGACTTTTGCCTCTTGGACGTGACTGTTCACCGGTACCTGTTGGACGTGACCCCTGAGATACCCCCCGACGTAACCTTTCTGAAACTGGCCGACCTGGGCCCTCTCAGTCTGGGGATTTTGACCCTGAAATGTGAATTTGGGGTCTGCATCGAGGAATGCCTTTCATTAAAGTGGACAGCAAAAAAAAAAAAAAAAAAAAAAAAAGCGGACAGCCAAATCCAAGCATCCAACAACCACTCCGCCCAGTAAACCGTAGGCAGAGAGGGAGAAGAGGACAACAAACGAGGGGCTGTGACAAAGGGCCTCGCCACACCTATCCCGAAACCACCGATTTGGAGAGGAGAAGCATCGCCATACCAACTCTCCAAAATCGGTGTCAGAAAAAATTTGGAGAGCGGCCTGGACGCGGGTTTGAGGAGTGGTCACGAACTTTTCGAGAGACCCAGCCTGCAAAGTGGCCCTTTTGGAGAAAGGTCTGAGGCGAACCCAATTTCGGCCCGAAAATGGAGAGTGTGCCGCGACCGACAATCGTCTGCGGCCTCGTGAAAACTCAGGAAAAATCACGGGGTTCTTCTGAAACAGTGGAGAGTTAAAAAAAAAAAAAGAAACAGTGGAGAGTGCCTCTTCGCGAGTGCAATGTGGCGATGACCCCTCTCGAACCGGTTTTCTCCAATTCCGACATTCGAGAGTGCTCTCCAAAAAAAATCGATTTTCGAGGTAGGTGTGGCGAGGCCC